AAGTCATGTCACTCGGCGGCCATCTTTGAAACGCCTCTCGGGCGTGCAAGTGCAGCTCCTATATCTCTTTGAATGGGGAAACATCAAATTCTCCAAAACTGTGCACTAAGCTTAAGATTAAATTTCATATTTGAAGTCACCAAAGCAATCTGACAACAACTGTGTCATAAATGTTGTTACTTTTGCTCAAATAGCGTTATAAAAAGCTTATTTTTCAGGCTAGATCAGCCAGTGCGCATGCGCAGTCCTGAGCGCTGACTGTTTCTATAGCAACCGGGACGCTTCTAACAGCAGCTGCAGTGATGCTCTGACTTTACCGCTTAGCGATTGGCTCTTTCATTCAGAAGGTGGGGCTTCCTGTGATTGAGCGGCCATATTGAGCGTGGCATTTTTCCCCATTCAAAACTATACGAGCTTTGGATAAAGTGACTGGATGTACAAAGACACTAAACTACAACACTGACCATATATCAAGATAAGATTAACAATGTTAATAATAAGTATGTTTTATGAAGTCTTAGTAAGAGTGGATGTATTTTGTGTGTTTATGAGTACAGATGGTCGATTGAGCGGCCATATTGAGCGTGGCATTTTTCCCCATTCAAAACTATACGAGCTTTGGATAAAGTGACTGGATGTACAAAGACACTAAACTACAACACTGACCATATATCAAGATAAGATTAACAATGTTAATAATAAGTATGTTTTATGAAGTCTTAGTAAGAGTGGATGTATTTTGTGTGTTTATGAGTACAGATGGTTGGTGTCGGGACATCAGAAGTGAACCTGGATCAGTTCAAACATAGTTTCTGCAGTCTGTTGGGCACAGATGAGGACAGCTGGGGTCTGTCCTACACAGGTGAGGTCAGAGGTCATGTGACCCCTGCATTCTATTCAGTTAAATCAGTATTATTCATTTAAATACATTAAAAAGCCTGCATGTCTGTGTATAAAAAAAGATCCATTATATGTCATTTTATATATACACTACAATTCAAAAGTTTGAGGTCAGTAAGATTAATACTTTTATTTAGTAAGGACACATTAAATTGATCACAAGTGACGTAAAAGACATTTATGTTATAATAGAGTTCTATTCCAAATAAATGCTGTTATTTTTAACTTTGTATTCATCAAAGAATCCTGAAAACTAAAATGTATCATGGTTTCCACAAAACTATGAAGCAGCACAACTGTTTTCAATATTGATAATAATATTATACTGATTTCTGAAGATCATGTGACACTGAAGACTGGAGTAATGATGCTGAAAATACAGCTTTGATCACAGAAATAAATTACATTTTACAATATATTACAATAGAAAGGGGTTATTTTAAATTGTAATAATATTACTGTATTTTTTATCAAATAAATGAACATAAGAGACTTCCATCAAAAACATAAAAAAATGTATGTGTATGTATGTGTTTTTTAACTCTCTGTCTTCATCTACATTTATCATGGGTCAGGTCACTTGCACCATAAGGGGTCAAAGGTGAACTTTTCGTCACGGTTCGGTCAAGGGTCCATAATCGGGGTCCATCTGGACAGCTGGCACGGCACCCTGAGCTTCTACAAGAACCGCCGCTGCATCGGTAAGACATGCTTGCACTCTTTCCTGTCCTGCATGAATGTATACAATACAATCTTTCTTATTCTTCCTTTTTCATCTCTATCTATCTATCTCTCTATCTCTCTATCTTCGGTTCTGTCAGGCATAGCAGCTACTCACTTGCAGAATAAGCGTCTGTATCCGATGGTGTGTTCGACTGCGGCCAAGAGCAGCATGAAACTGATCCGTTCACATTCTGTGCCCACAACATTACAGTACCTGTGCTGCATGCAGCTGCGCAAAATGCTGCCCAACTGCGCAGATGCTCTGCACGTGCTGCCGCTGCCGCCGGGTCTGCGTCTGCTGCTGTCTAAGCAGCTGGGATGGGTGCTGACCCTCGGCTGCGCAGACGCCTGCACACACAACAGGGAAGACAAGGCCACACAAACAGAAGACGGCGACTATGATGAATACATGAGCCCCTTTCCTTCCCACAATCCCTCTGACACCGAACGCGTCTTTATTTCTAGTTCCTTCTCTGATAACCCTGGCTCTTACCGCGGTAAAGATGAGCCTCTTGATTCTGCCTCCATATATCCTACTTCCTGTCCAGGTGATGCACAATATCAAGAAACCGTCTCCATAATGGATGTTACCTGTTACCTCGATTCCCCCTCACCTTCTGACCTCTTCTGTGGCTCTGCCTCCAGCCCTGACCACAATTCCCTCCCTGACCCTAAATTCCAGCAGGTATCTGCTTCCTGTCCTTGCTGCGACTCGCCGGTATCTGTTTCCAGTGACGGCTGTAAGGGAAATGATGCCAGTTCTGTGTGTAAACCCGAACACACCGGTTCTTGCATTCTATGCTCCTCCTACACTCCACCAGGCCACGCCTCCTTATGGCCTGACTCCGCCTCTGACTCAGATGACTTCTCTTCAGAGCTGGAGACGTGCCAGAGGAAACGCTGCCGCTGGACATGAGACACCACGTTTACATGTAAATCACAGGTCAAAGGTCACATTTAATGGCAGAGTTCATGGTTTACTCACCCTCATGCTGTTCCAAACTCATTTGAGTTAGCTGAAATCGTGATATTGCTTAGTGCGATTATAAAATCGCAAAGTCTGCGATTTAATTAAATATATTTCAGGAAAAGAGAATTTAAGAGAAGCACTTATAAACTAGCTGTTGTCTGCAAAAAAGGAGCTGTTTTTCTGCCAAAATAAAGTTTGAGAATTAAGAAATTAATAATTATATTAAATATATAAAATAATATTTTTTTCTTAATAATTGCTTTATTTTACACTGTAATATTTTTTTTCTTATTTTCTTTATTTATTATTAATAATAAATTAACACATAATAATAATAATAATAGTCTTATACAAGTCATAAATATATAATCTGAATTTTTCGCAAAATTGTGCACGCCTACAAACAGTCAGAGGAAACCTGGAGGTTTTTTTAAAATAGCATCTTAAACCACAAATTTCAAATTTGAATTTTTCCCCCGAATTGTGCAGCCCTAGGTATGAGGCCTTCTTTTCTGCTTAAAGAATCTTAACTTCTCATTTTTGTGTCCTACAGAAAAACATGAGGGTGAGTAAATGACATAATTGTCATTCTTACACGAGCACATCCTACAGTTCAACTCAAACCGCTCGTCCTCAGCCCTTGCCAAACTATCAAAATTCATTCACTGGACTTGTTGTGAATTATAACCTTCGTGAGATCCAGTGAATCAGTGGCTTTATTTCTTAGTAATCCGTCTTAGTCTTTTTCCATTAATTCATTATTCAGGGTTCAGGATGGGGTTAAAGGTTTAAATTTCTCAGAAACTTGCTCATTTCCAGTGCCAATGTTTCCAGTCAGGTGACCCTTGTTTTGAGAAATTTTATCTTGTATATTAAGGTAGATCAACACATGCCAAACATCTTTTGCAGCAGTATTATAGTCATCAGTTGTTTGAAACCTCAATTCCAGCAGATTAGTTCTGTAAATACTCTCCTGTACTGTAGAGCCTGTTAATAAGTCTATTAATTAATTACAGTATCTTATCATAATTCAATATCAGAGAGCTACAGCTCTGCTGTGACACCTAACTACATTTCTGATTTGATAAACACTGTAGATTGTGTATTTTCAGATATGACGGTGTATTTATTCACTTAACTTTTATTGATTAGTTTAACCTCCCCTCTCTTATTATTAATATTTGATTATGATTTATAATATACTCTCTATTTATGAGTGAGTGATTTTGTACTCTTTTGCATGTTTTCTTACTGATTACATTGTTTTGAGGTAAAAAAAATGAACAACAAAAAAGCTCATTTCATAATTGCATGTTTTTCAAGTATCTAATTTGCTCTTTTTAATTTGTGTTTCACCAATATTAAACTTCTGAGCATAACTCGTCCCAACTGTGTTTGTTGAATTGAATTTTATTTTTCTATTTTGTTTTCATTTCAATTTTAGTCCAAGTTTTAGTGTTTTTGTTGTGTTTTGTCATTTTTATATATCTGTATAGTTTTTTTATTACATTTTTCATAGTTTTAATTAAATTAGTAAATGTTTAGTTCTTTTTAGTATTTCAAATGACATTTTTAGGACTTAAAATGAAAATGAGAAATTGTTGCCTTGGCATCTAGCTGAAATAATAATAAAAAAAATAAATCTGCAAAAATGTCAACAATTCTGTGTTTTTCTGTCAATATGGTGTGCTGTGTGTACATTAATGATTTTAGCAAATGGCTGCAATATAACAAAGAGTGAAAAATTTAAGGGGGTCTGAATACTTTCCGTACCCACTGTATATATTAGTTAATGGTAATAAACCTGTCCCAAAGTAATGGATTCAAATTTCAGCACACATACTGATAAAATGCAATGCAAGTTTGAAAAAAGCATCTGAAAAAGCATAATCTTATTAATGAATCGATGACAATCAATGAAATGCATCTTCTATTTAAAATAATAATAGTCCAGTCTGAATATGAACACCAATTATAAGACAGATATTTAATTTTGATATTTTCATTTTGTAAGTCTTAACTTACTAAGACAATGACATCAGTTTTAAATAAACAATACAAACATTATAACATTTAATTTTCAAGTATTGATGGCAGATCCATTATTAAGTTCATAATAGAGAATGAATATATCAATTTGAGGCACAAACTTCTATCTTTAGGTTAGTCTTCTATACTGGCAATAAAGTGCAAAATTCATTCCCACAAATCTGGGCTTAATCCAGCAGGAGATGAGGATTCTGGGAAGTGAGAAGGCGATGTATACGGCCAGCGAGCTCAGGACCAACACGCCTCTCTTTGGCTCCGCCTACCACTGCGAGATCAGCCAATAGTCTGCGTCGCTCCTCCTCATAGGCCTGTTGGAGCAGTTAGGAGGAGAGTGAAAGTATATAAAGAGAGACGTTCAGAGAGAGTCTGAACACACGTCACCTGCAGCAGGAGGGAAGGAGAGGGGTGGGCGCTCGTCACGGCTTTGGCCAGAGCTGGACTGACGTGTCCACACCTGAGCGAGACAGCGGCCGTCTCTGTCCACTCGCACACCTGCTGACCACGAGCCGTCCATGCAGAACCCCAGATCAGGGTCACCACACAACGCCCTGAGAACAAAACACCCGGAGCTATTGTTGGCAAAGAATAGTGTCTTCTGCATAATGAGCAGTTAATAATACTATACAGTGGTTAGATCCCTAATTAGTTTCTTCTTAAAGGAATAGTTCATGCTACTGGCTAAAATACATTTACATTTAGTCATTTAGCAGACGCTTTTATCCAAAGCGCCTTACAAATGAGGACAGTAAAAGCAGTCAAAACTAACAAAAGATACAATAACGCTTCCTCCGGTGAAAAAGCCATCTTGTCTGAATCAGGAGAGGAATCTGCACAGATCAAGCACTGTTTACAAGCCAAAACAGCTCTAAACGAGTATGTGTGTGGATTTTGATGCGAGAGACAACAGGAAATTGACTTTTTCACTGGAGGAAGCGTTATTATGGATTATGGACTTGTATTTTAGCCAGTAGCAACAGTTAAAATGCCTTAATGATGGATTTGTTTCAGCTTTTGTCTTCACAAGACGTTAACTGATGGACTGGAGCGGTGTGGATTACTTGTGGATTATTGTGATGTTTTTATCAGCTGTTTGGACTCTCATTCTGACGGCACCCATTCACTGCAGAGCATCCATTGCTGAGACACTGATGCAATGCTGCATTTCTCCAAATCTGATGAAGAAACAAACTCATCCTAATCTTGGATGGTCTGAGGGCGAGCACATTTTCAGCTAATTTTCATTTTTGGGTGAACTATTCCTCCAATAACAATTCATAAGAAGCATACATCATTTCTACCCTAAATTTGTACAAGAGATTTTAAGAGATTAAAAGAAAAAATTGGAAAAAGTAAACCCAGGCCTTTTGGATGATTCATTTTGTGTGATGTTAAAACGTACTTGTAAGGTCTCTTAGATAAAGCTTTGGTAACTGCAACCACATGACCGGTCACTTCCTGCCATCCGAACAGGAAGTTCACCGACACATTCCAGTTGAGCTGGAGGTGAACCAACAGCTGCCCGTCACAGAAACAAGACATAATTACTGAAAGCTTACATTAATGCGCATAACTATACATATAAGATATCAACTACAATATATTTAAATATACAGTATGGTGTGTGTGATAATCGAGTCATTGTGTGTAAATTCAGCCTGATTAGTTATCGTTTAATGTGTTTTATTGTATTATGTTATTATATATTCATTTTTATTTACAGTGTATAACTGCACATTCTATTAGATTAAATGCTTTCACTGAGCCTTTCTTGCACAGTGTTATTTTGATTACAGTATAGAATTATTCAGTGTATATCCTATATATAATTTAAATCAAATATTTGTTCTGTTTTTTTATGCCTGTTTAAATACATAAATATGGTGCAGTGACCGGTGTGCAACACTAGAGGTAAGTATTCAGCTCAAGGACAAAAATGTATAAGGCAATCACAATCTCAATCAATTTGACATATTCTACTCAATTCAAAAAGACAATTAAGGCAAAATTAAGATGGCTTTAACAAAAATATTAAATAAAAAATGAAAGTATAAAAAAATTGTACATTGACTAATTTCTGCACCAAAATTAATTCGACTTTTACATAAAGTCAAAAGCAGATCACTTTAAATTGTTTACTTTCTTAATGCATATTTCTGGTTTTATTGTACATGATTCATCTGTACATGTTTTCCAAAGAAAAACATCTTTATAATCTTTACTGAGAACTGAAGCGGTTCCTCTTCCTCTGAAATGACTTTCCTTTTGCACTGATGTCTCTCGAGCTTACTGCACTGGATAATGATTTAGTCATTGTTTTAACAAGCTCTCATTCTGTCTGGCTCATTGAATATCAGAAATATGTCATATATTACAGAAGTAAAACATTTTAACACCCATTTCCACTGGCTGGCTATTGATCTGCATTATGATAGGAAACTCTACAAAGTCCTGAAAGTATCCAACGACACACAAAGGCACTTTTTCTTTCTCAGATTCTGTACTCACTCAATAAACAAGGGCTTTCATTGGCAAAGACATTACAAACACACCTGTGAAAAGCATTAAGACACATTGAATCTCGTGTGTCTCTCTTCATTTCTCAGTTGTCCAAAACCGTATCACGGCGTTCTGGTTCTGCGGGAAGGAGCTGGCTCTGGCGTTTGGACTGACCCTGGCTTTCTCCAGCTTGGGCAGAAGGTTATTTCCTTTAACCAGGAAATTAACGTTCTTAGAATTGACAAGACGGTTGACCCTGAGTGGTCAGCTAAATATCTACAGTGGATCTAAAATATGAATAGTTAATTATAACTAGTTATGGTTAATTATTCATATTTCCTGTCGTTGAGCTAAATTCGCTACAGTACGGTATGCAGTGGACGCAGTGGGGAGGTGAGAAACACAGCATGCACACGATTAGGCCCTTGATCTGTTGTTTTGGGAATGTTTCCGAGCCTTATGCATCTATTTTATTATGTGCGAAGGCACGTTCCTGTGTGTTCTTGGCTTCTTGTCGGCTGTAACAGTCAGCGTTCTGGATAAGATGGGCATGAAGCAGCTGGGATTGGATGGAGTGATTCAGGAGGAGTCACGTAAACTGCTGAGACACTGATAAAGATGC